TAGAAAATTTGAGATCAAGTTCTTAAACTCAGAAATTTAGAAATGACTTCCAGAAATCTTCTAGTCTTCTCTGATTTTTTTTTCTAGCTAATTTTTGACTTTTCGAACAGAAATGTCATTGTTGTTTTTTTCAGAATATTTCTGCGATTAATGTCAAAATTTCTGATTCTTTTGGTGAAAATGAACCGTGCACGCCAACGCAGTTTGATAAACTGTAAAGCCGATTCTGGCGCACTGCACTGACCTCCAGCCACCTCCAGGGGGCCGTTCTTCTTCTTCAGCTCCTGCAGCGCCTCGGTGAACTCCTTCCCTCCTTTCTTCTCCAGAGCGGATCCTGCAGGTGGAAAGCAGAGAATAAATCCTGGATAAATAGACGGACGGCAGGAAGCGAGGCGGAGGGTCAAAGGTCATGCAGACAGACGGCAGGCAGGACGACATGAGGGAGGCAGAAACTCAGCAGCGTCACTTTAACAAAGAGCAAAGATTTAAGTTAAAGTCCAGAAGGTTCAGTTAGGGAATAAAAGCCCAGTTTTATTTTTTAAATGAGTTGATTCAGATTTAAAGTTTGATAAAATGTTTTAACTCTTTCATCACAAACTCCAGGGAAAGCTTTGGGGATTTTATGTGATCAACAAAAATCAGCACAAAATTGTAAAGTATTAATTTTTGTTTTTGCAAAAAATCAATTCTCACAGTGTGATCTGCTTAGTTTTAGACCCCATTACTCTGATACCTATAAATAAAACCCAGCTGCTTCAGCTTGTTAGAGAATCGATTTGTTTGAGTAGAAATCAAAGTGTTCATTATTATTTTAATTTTTCCTTCCTGATGTTGTTTCCAGTCAATCCTGAATGAGTGAAGCACCCAAGAGGCTCAAAGCGCATTATCCATCAGAACGGTCCAGTCAAAGCCCGGATCTTAACCCAATCAGAACAAGAGATGAGCATTTCTGTGCCTTAGAGACACAGAAGAAAGGTGGTGACCTGAAGACTAATTCCTGCCACACCTTTTAGAAAATACTTCACAAATGAACTTTTATTTTTCTCCCAGTTTGCGGCGATGCGCTGCTGTAAAATCCAGTTTCAACGTCACAAACTGAATAAAACCCAAGAATGTGAATATGTTTTGCAAGGCATTTAACAATTCAGCTGAAATATTAAAAACGCTTTGATTTTATTTTTGTTATAAAATGTAGTTAGAAAAAAATCTCTTTAACTTCAGCGACTGGAAGCAAAGTGATGGAGACGCTCTGAGTCTTCAGAGAAACTAAAACTGTTCCTGAGACGCTGTGTGGGTCTGCCTGCTGGCAGCCTGGTTAAAGAGGTCAAAGGTCACATGAGGTGAGACAGCTCAGGACGTCGATGCTGCAGTCGTGGAACAAGACAAGCAGCAGCAGCAGCAGCATGAAGATGAGGATAAAATAAAACCTGAACCTCAGAGTCACTTATTGTTTTGACTCGTTTATAGATAAAACCTGCAGGAAACGTTGAGGTTGTATTAGAGCAGAGGCAGGTTAAGGAAGCATCCAGAGTTGGATCAGAATAAATAATAAACACAAGTAAACACTGCAACAATAATCCTAAAAAAATGGGAGCTCAGCAGGGGGCGCCATTTTTATTTAATCCTTGTCTTAACCAGGTGAGCTATGAAGAACAAATTCCTATTTACAATAACAACCTGGGTTGCTAGGTAACGGGTGGCGGAGCTCTGCCGGGGTTGCTAGGTAACAGGCAGTTCCTGTGCTTGGTAACATTACATTCTGGAGGATCATGAATGTTTTTAAGTGCTTGTCCTGTTTTCAGAAGCAGCAGAAAATGTACAAAATGTGAACTTTATGGTCAGAATAATTGATAGGTTACTACAATAACTGCTAACAGCCCTAAAATACAATCACTAATAATAATAAACTCAGATTCTCTGTAGAGATTCAGAACATAAAAGTTACTGACTGTAGAAATGACAAGTTTTTTTTCCAGATCCAGTAAAAATCCGGCTCCAGTGAACACTGGAAGCTGTGAGCATGAACCCTGGCTAAAAGCTGCTGGTGCTGCAGCTGCTGGTGCTGCAGCTGCTGGTCCACTGACTGCAGCAGCGAGGGTCCGGATGAGCAGCAGCAGCAGCAGACAGTCGGGTTCCTTTACCTACTTCACCACCTGAATACAGGGTCGAGTTGGTCGGGTGAACGACTGCGTCGCTCTCCACCGCGGAAATGTCGGCTTGGACAACTTGCAACTACAAACGACAACGGTGACAGACAACAGGCAACAACATGGAGGTAAAACACAGTGAGCAACTGGCAACAGGATGAGCAGAGTGATGAGAGGAGGACAGTCGGACAGGTGAGCGCTCCTGATTGGCTGAGGAGAGACAGGTTAGAGACGAAACAGGAAGCAGGAGCCACAGCTGGACCAGAGTAAAACAGGAAGATGATAATCAAAACACCAAATAGATCTTTGTGTTTGAGTTTTAATTAGAAAAAAACAGTTTTCTGTCCAACTGTGAATCCTGCATTTAACGATCACACTCCAGGTGAGAGCTCTGTCCATCAGGCTGCAATTAAGATTAACTGGATTTTACTCAGCAGACTGAGAGGACGAGCATCTGGACCGGAGCTCAGCGGGACGCAGACCGACGGCGGCACGGAATTCCTTGAAGGTGGAAAAGCAGCTTCTGATATTTCTGGAGATTTTCCTCCAATGAAACCAGATTAATAATCTGATCAACGTCTCTCAGCGCTGCAGGCAGCTTCTGTTTCACAACTATTTATTTTCACACATTTCATGTGAAACAAAAATAAATGTTTTATATTCAGATTGACTCTGATCAAAGGCAAAAGAATAAAAGTAGAAATAATTGTATAAGAATACAAGTAAAAAACATAAATTAGCTAATTATAGAGAAAAACGGATGGATGATGGATGGATGGATGATGGATGGATGGATGGATGATGGATGGATGAATGGATGATGGATGGATGGATGATGGATGATGGATGGATGGATGATGGATGGATGGATGGATGATGGATGGATGGATGATGGATGGATGATGGATGGATGGATGGATGGATGATGGATGGATGATGGATGGATGATGGATGGATGATGGATGGATGGATGATGGATGGATGATCATAAAGTTTTTAATTCAAAATTTAAACTTTCTCAGTCATAAACTCAGATTTTCCTTTGATGCTTCAATTAAATCAACTGATGAGCATTATCTTTAAACAGAGGACGCTCGTGATTGGACTAGGCCGATCTGCTGAGCTGCTGCTCGTGACTGGACTAGGCCGATCTGCTGAGCTGCTGCTCGTGATTGGACTAGGCCGATCTGCTGAGCTGCCGGACGTTCAAGGATCTCCGTCTGAAATCCCCCGGTGGGGGGCGGGTCTCACCTAGGTCATCTTTCAGCTCAAGGTCGGCGTTGGTGGGGTTGATGACCCCGTCCACGTCAAAGCCAGCCAAGTTACTGACCTCGCTGTGGATGAGGTTGAGCTGTGGAGGCGCATGCACAGGAGGAAGAGGAGCAGAACGATGAAGAGGCAGAGCGTTAGCGCCAGACACACTCTGCAGATCACAGGAATACCTTGAAGTTCTGGACCGAGCCCAAACCGATCACCGATCAGTAACCTTCATTGATAATACCAAGCATGAACCAGCTGAGATTAGGACGGAAACCATTAATCAGATTATTCAATTATTCAAATAATCGTCAACTAATTTGGTAATCGATCAGGAGAGCATTTTACTGAGATAACAACACAGAAACCTGGAGCAAAACCAGATCAGTTTTAAACATGTTTCACCAAAAAAAACATTTTCATCGTTTTTCTTATGGGACCAAAATCTCAAGGTATTCCTCAAAGATTTCCAACCGTAACACCAAATCAGCACAGATTAACGCAGACATGAAGCTTTTTATTTCACCAACTAAACATCGAAATGGAAAGTCTGATTACAGGAAGGAAAATCACCTGCAAGAGACAGACAGAAATCAGGACAGAACGGCAGAGGAAGACTCAAAGTTTTCTAAATTAACTGGTTTCATTTAGAAAACTTTGACCAATTCATGAAATTGTAATAATTTATGTCAGAGCAAATTGTACTCAGTTTGTGAAACTGTTGCAGGAACCGAAGCAAAGAGGATAAATAATGTGATTCTGATCTGCCAGAAATATTCTCTGAACTTACCAAAACAATATATGAATTAATAATGAGTTTTTAACAACTCTTTATATCAATATTTGTAAAAAACATCAAGAAAAATGCAAAATATTAACTCGTCATAGCTAAGTCATTTATTGATGCTGTGTTTGTGTTTAGGTGGAGCAGATTTCTGACCTTTTGACCCAGGAAGAGACTCTTGGTGGAGAGCACGGTGAAGCTGTCGGCCAGAGATCCCTCCGTCGTGCTGTCTGCCGACGCCGACTTGCTCACCTCGCCTCTCTGCAGAGACCAGACCAGCAGCAAGATGTCAATAAAGTATTTATCAGCTTTAGTTAACAACCAATCAAATGTTATCTGTACAGCATGTCAGCAGCAGGCTTTTCAAAGAGCTTTACATCATAAACACAGAAACAAAGTCATGCAGCAGAGAATCAACAATAAAACGTGACATTAAGTCGATGCCGTCGATAAATTGATCACGATTCAAATAAAACTAACCAGGAGTCTGGATTTAAAGGAAGTCAGTGTTTCAGCTGTTTTACCGTTTTTTGGAAGTTTGTTCCAGATCTGTGGTGCATAGAAGCTGAATGCTGCTTCTCCTCGTTTGGTTCTGGTTCTGGATGCAGAGCAGAACCAGAACCAGAACCTGAGGGTCTGGCAGGTTGATTCAACAGCAGCAGATCTTTAATGTGTTGTGGTGCTAAACCGTCCAGTGATTTATAAACTAACAGGATTTTACAGTCTGTTCTCTGAGCTACAGCTGTAGGACTGTAGATCTGGTCTTATGTCTCCATCTTCCTGGTTCTAGTCAGAACAGCAGCAGCAGCTTCTGGATCAGCTGCAGCTGGAGGATCGATTTGGTGGACAGACCTGTGAAGATGCTGCTGCAGGAAACAATGAGACTAAAGATAAACGCCTGGATGAGTTTCTCTAGATCTGACAGACACAAATACACAAATACAAATATGCTCAAAACTTTTAGTCAATATTCTTCTAATGTAAAAATCCTATTTATTAATTTGTGTTTTTCCATTAAATAAGAAACTAAATTAAAATCATGTGAATAAGTTTGTTCATGTAATAAATCAGTAAAAAAAACAAGCAGCACCATCATCCTCCTACCACTTCCTGTCTTCTTCTTCTTTGTGGTTTCTGCCAGTAGTAACTTCCTGTTGATCATGTGACTCATGATGCGATAAAAGTGTTTCTGTTCCACACTCCTACGGCCAATGGGAACGCAGCGGGTGAAAACCCAGCCGGCTTCAGGCTCACCTTGGTTTTCCCTCCAGCCTTTTTCCCACCCAGTTTCTTCGCTGCAGTCTTCTTCACTGTCTTGGGTTTCTTCTCCGGCGCCGGCGACACCGGCGTCTCCAGCTTCCCCTTGGCGCCTCGCTTCTTAGCCAGCAGCTCCGGGTGGATGTTGGGCAAAACTCCACCTGCTGCGATGGTCACGCCTTTCAGCAGCTGCCACAGAACGACAAACTCTACGGTTTCAGCCGTGGTGGTGCTGAGAGGAGCAACCCAAACCGCCCAGCGCAGGTTTAGCTGCAGCTCACCTGGTTGAGCTCCTCGTCGTTGGCGATGGCCAGCAGGATGTGCCGCGGCGTCACTCTGCCCTTTTTGTTGTCTCTCGCTGCATTGCCAGCCAGCTCCAAGATCTCAGCTAAACACAGAAACATAAGAATCATTTTCAGTAAAACTGAAATGATTAACCGTGATCAATTGATTGTTAAAATAATCGTCAACTAATTTAGTAATCGATTAATTGTTAACTGGAGTGCACAAACTAAAAAAAAACACATTGAGAGCAGAAATTAAAACTGCTCTCAATGCAGTGAATGCAGTTTTCTGGCCGATCATCGATCTCTAAAAAGCCTCATCTGCTGATTCTGATTTTGGCTGTTAGCAGGTTTTTTTTCTTTAAAATGTTGTTAAATATAGCAAGAAGGTTGCTGAGTTGGTAACAGCAGGACGACTATTGATGACCGCAAAGGTTTGGACATGAGCTGATGTCAGTGGCTGATTTTAGAAAAGATCTGCTTCACATACAAGTATCGATCGAAAATTAAGGCAGTCGTCTGGCCGATAAACTGTCTGATCCATAAATCGTCTGGCCGATAAATCGCTGCACCCCTAGTTTCCATGCTTTTCTCTTCAGCAGTGCAGCTCACCGGTCAGGTACTCAAGGACGGCGGCCAGGTAGACCGGCGCTCCCACACCGATGCGATATTTCGGCAGCCCCCTCTTGATGTAGCGCAGCATGCGCCCCACAGGGAAGATGACGCCGGCCTTGGTGGACCGGGACGTCTTGGTCGTCTTTTTCTTTCCTCCTCTGCTTGACATGGCGCTCCAAGTGCCACCGGCGTTGGGCTCTGCAGAGAAAAACGAACCACTTGTTACACACAGAGGAGGATCATACTCAACTGAGAGTAGAAAAGTATTTGGCTCCGCTCCGTTTGACGCTGCATTTGGTTCCAATATAAACACATTGCAGTAAATCTGAGCCGTTTCCTCTCAACATTATTCTTTGTCTTCAGATACATTGCAATTCTTCTTTCAGGTGTGTAGAAAGAGAGAAAATACTAAGTAAATCTTATTGTCTATGAGAAAAGGAGATACTCCATCATTTATTGATTAATGTGTTACTTATTAACATTATCACCTAAAATCACTGTGAGCAGCTCAGACGGCTGTAAACTCAACAACTGGAAACTGGTAACAAAACCTGGTATCGGTTGCAGATTTCATATTAACAACATTTAACTTACTGAGCTTTCTCCTACCAACTTTTACCTTGTCATGTTAACTAAATCTATCTAACCTTAGCAGATGTTTAATGTGTTCTGATTTATTTGTGGATTATTGAGCTAAACCTTTGACAGAAACATAAACTATATTTTAAGACATTTTGCTGAATAATGTAAAATGAGTAAATAAACATGTGGAGGTTGAATCCAGCCTCTGATTACAAACAACATGAAACTGAGCAAAGAGAGATGATGTGTTTCACATGGGATCATGAAATCTGTTAGCAAACCCAAGGTGACAGGAGAACAATCTGCTGCTGACCCCAGCGGTGATTACTCAACATACACAAGAGGCTTTCTGTTAATATTACCCTCATGCTAAAAAGCAGCCTAAATGTCACCCTCACTGTGCAGGAAGATGTCAATTACCATAAGATCCCCTGTGCAAAGAGATGTTTTATTCATGACAGATGGCATTATGGACCCCGGAATGCTCGTTCATTAAAGAATAATTTAATGCATTTTAAATTAGGAACAAACTTAATCAAAGTTTAGCGCGTTTATTATGTCATGAAATGCGTAATAACTAAATGTTTCTGCACCAGATGTAGACTGCAATTATCTCGTCTGTCACTGGGAATCAATTACCGCCACCATAGGCCACGCTTCTTTCTTATTTTATTTTTTAATTTCTGCTCTGAATCAAACACGGTTAGCGGAACGGTGGTCAGTTCCAGCGGAGACATAAAAACCCCGCATATGCTGGTTGAGAACATCTGCGGCATTTCTTCCTGCGGCCAGGTGTAGGTGGGTTTCTCTCCGCCACGGTGGGCTTTTCTCTCCCCGCTGACATCCATTTCCGCATGTCAACATCCAGCCCGGCGGCTCCAAAAGGCATTTTAAAGCCCCGACTCGGCGTCAGCGCCGCAGCTGATCCGCCTCTGTCAGCCGATTAAAGCGGTATTTTCCCCGCTACAGGTCGGCGGAGAGCGGCTGCCCCGCTCCTCCTTCCCTCCCCTTCCTGCCTGTCCGCCCCGGCAGCCCGGGCTCCGCTCTCGGCCTCCATGGCAGCGCGAAGGGGGAAGAGGAAAAAACATGGCAGCCTCAACGGCTCCGCTCGCTGCGCAGATTCCCGCTCGACCGACGACAGGAGACGATGAAAGACACGAAGCGAGGCGACACGGAGGGGTACTTACAAAGCAAGGTAGCGGGGTAAAAACAAATCCGCTCCCAGTTCTCCCGGTAACCAGCCTGGGCAGTGTCCCCCACCGACTCCCAGAATCCACAGCGAGCCGGAATATCGGAGGCAGCCAGCGCTGCCCGCGGAGCCCGACCGGAGCTCAGCGTTTAACCCTTTATACCTTCACTTTGTCCTCAAAACACACGGAGTCAGCCGATGTAGTCGGTGTCCATAATGTGGTCAAATTCTACATTTAAGGTCTCAAAGTGTGGTAAAGTTTCTCCTTCACTCCGCTGCTTATCAGGGCAATGAAATGTAATCATCATGAGTAAATGAGAGTAACGATTCATCTGTTAAAAACAACTCCCAACCCGATGACCTTTAGGAGAGCTGATATCTGAACACACTACAGTCACTGGTGTACAAAGGGGAATTTCCAAGTTCAGATCCGGGTCAGTGACAGCTGTCCAGCTGACGGCCATGACTCCATCCACAAAGCCAAAGAGTCGGTGCTCAGGTAAATGGCTCCACAGAGTGGAAAGTTGAGTGGAAGGAAGAAAGAAGCAACAGGGAGCTAAGACCATTCAAAGGTCTGGGTGGACTGAGCCTGGAACAGTCATAGTTAAGTCGCTCTTGAACCAATGTGAACACGAGAAACCTGAACTCAGGAGAAAACGCATCCCTCTGCTGTTAAGCTCCATAGAAATATAGATTTCATTTTCCCGCAGGAATTTTCCCTGGCAGGTGATTTCTATCTCATTCAACTTTCCCTGTTTGAAGTCAAAAGTCAGAGCAACGTTTTCTGTCCCTAAGTGGTTCGTAAAGAAAACTTCAGATGCTTTAATGGAGCTGCTAGTGGACAGTTTGTTATACTGAATAAAATTAATAAAATAATTATGACTTTTGTGTTTTAGAGCTTTTAGGATTCATTTTGCCTGACTTGTTTTGGAATCAATATTTGAAAAAAATTGTCTTAAAGAGACACAAAAATATTTCCTGTGTTCATTTTTTTTAGCAGCTATGCTATGGCAGCAGGCTCATTCACTGTAATTGGATGTTATTTTATTGGTATTGAGATCATAACAGCCCCTAATTTTCTGGCATGCTATCTGATCTTTAGCCACATCAAGCCTGTAGCTGGGCACTGATCTCTAATGTTGCAGTTTTCTTTTACCAAAATCAATTATTTCTGTATTTTCTGCATTAAATTGGGATAAAATGTTATTCCTACAGGACAGTGATCATGTGGTGACACAGTTTGATAAAGTTATTCGTCACAGCGGCTGGTATCAGAGATGTTGTAAAACTCCATTGTCTGAATTAGGAGAGCATGCAGATGTTCAGGAAGAGTGTCCCGAGAATAGAGCCTTGAGGAACTCCACATGTAATCTTTAAGTCAAATTTAAAATGTAAAAAGAACACATCTCAGTCTGCCAAAAAGTATCTGAACAAGTTTGGGAACGTTCCATTAGCCAACACTAGCAAAAACAAACATATTTCTAAAATAATAATAACAGTAAAGAAGCAACACACAGCTCATTTGTTGACTAATTAGAATCAGGAAAAGGTTTAGTTAATTTTAAATATTACACTTAGCTCTAAAAGTAATTACAAAATACATATTTTATTTCTAATCAGATTTGTAATTATCTAAATATATCCTAAAGGATGTAATTTCAGAAGACATAATTAAATCTCCTTAAAATACGAAAAAATAGCAAAACTCTCCCTTTGCATAACAAGCACTCAGCATTCCGGGTGTAGTGATACCAGATGTCCACCAGGGGTCTCACCTGAGCTGCATGTTTGACTCCAGACTTCTGCTGGCGCATCTTCTACACACCGCACAAAATGCAAATTTAAAGATAAAAATACTATAAACTATCGTGGTCGGTCTATCAGTTCACAACATGGTTGCTATAGCAACTGTTGGGAAATACACATGCAGCTAAAATGATTCCACCCCAACTAAAAGTTTAAACATCCAGCTTAAAAAAATTACAAAAAAAAAACAAAACAAAAAAAACAAAACAAAACAAAAAAACAACATATACAGTTAAATAAAATGAGCTGAACACTATTTTTACCAAAATATTGAACCCCTGAACAGAATGTATTCTATGTTTATCTCCCCTGGTCAGAAGAAACCGGCGTGTTGACAGTCATCCGTCCTAAAGATCTGCTGGGATTTGAAATAAACAGTTTCAGTATTCAGGTTCCTCTGTAATGTCAGAAGTTCAGACCTGATTGCAACCAAAAGATGTTCTGCTTGCTACTGAAACACACAAACTAGTTTATATATTTTTGTTGATATATTTTGTAGTTAAACCCAACGTGCTGAATAATTGTAGGTGCAACTGTGAACCTGATGAGCAGAGGATGGTTTCAGGTAAAGGCCTGATGTGTTTGTTTTGAACACATTCAAGAAGTTCATACATTTCTGCAGAATTACGTGCAGAACCAACACATCATTTCTAGGCTTCGTCTACGTTCAGTTAATGTCGAAAACCAACAGTTTCCTTTAATTAAGAAATCAAACTCATACATGAATAAGCTTGCTCATGCAATAAGGTATTAAAAATCAGGGATGTAAACGGTTACATGAAATGTATTCATAATTCAGCAACTAGCGCTCATTATTTATCAGCCAATCAGAGGAGACGTTGGCCACAAGCCCCGCCTACTTGGGAGTAGCGTTTTCAGGAAAGTGTAGTCGGCCATTTTATAGAACAATTATAGATTATAGAGTTATGGTGGAGCCAGCTACATAAAAGAAAAACATCATCCTGTTTCCACTTCCTGTCATCTTCTTCTGCATTTCTGCCAGTAGTAACATCCAGATAGCAATCATGTGTCTCATAAATCTATTTCCATACAACTGAAAAATCCCCACACAAAAACTTTTTATAAAAAATCTTCAGTTTTTTTTTAAATTGGCATATTTTCATTATGCAATTTTTTTTTTTTTTTTTTTTTGTAATTTCAATTTGGACAATTTTAAGGTTCAGATAAATGCAGCCAGTGAGACAGTGGTGAGGTGTACGGTAGGAATGAGACGAGTGGGATTAAATCAGAATTCAACTTTAACCTGGAGTCAAAGCTTCAGTGATGAAAGGCTGACTGATGACCTCAGATGATATTTTGACCTTTAGTGTGAGGAAGAGAAGCTGAAGACATGAAAATATAGCAAACAGAAATATTACAGACAGAAGAATTTGAAGTAAAATGCTGAAGTTTTAACTATTTAGGGATGACTGAAAATTTTCATGCTTGAATGTTTCATGTTATCTAACTAAACGATCAGCGAATCCAAATGATAATGATAATAATGATGATAATAATGATAATAATGATGATAATAATAATAATAATAATGATAATAATGTTAATAATAATAATAATAATAATAATAATAATAATAATAATAAAACCTTGCTGATGTGAAAAAGTGTTTTCCCCAAACCAGAGTTGAGCAGTAAATGACAGTCGATGTTTTTCAGAGGAATTTGGTCGACTCTTCAGTCAAACCAGAAGATTTTCTAGTTCCATCACAACGTTTCCTTGAGGTAATTAAAAAGCCTCTCAAAGGGATTTCAGTCCGAACTTTGACTAGGCCAAGCAATAACCTTTGTTTTGTTGGTTTTGGGCAGATCCAGAGTTGAGCTGGTGTTGTGTTTCAGGTCATTGGAAATATTCTATTATCTGATCAGAGGAGTGAAGGTAAACGGCTAAAGTGTCAGTCAGTGATTTTTGATGTAACACGTTGTTCTTTCATCATTTATGGCCACATGTGCAGCACCTGAGTAATAAAAGTTTTCATAAATGATCTGACTGCAGGAATTTTAAATTTAACCTGTGAAAATGAATTCTGTTGTGAAAAGTTAAGCTCTGCTCTGCAGGCGTGTTTAAAGATGTTTTTGAAATTGTTTTCAAAAACAATTTCCAGACTTGTTAACAATTAGAGAGAACATTGATTATGACTGATAATAGAGTCACGTGTGTTTGCAGCACCGGATGGGCTTGAAGTTCAGCACATTTAGGGAGCGGCAGCTGATAGTTGAGACGCACAACACCAACCTTAACGCCTCAGTCTCTGAGTTGCTGCTTGCTAAAAATGCTATAAATACTTTGATATTTTGGCTGATGTCAGCAGCTGGGGCCTCACAAAAACACAACATTTTATAGACAAAGATCCAAAAATGTTGAGGGAAAATAAAAATGATTCTGAAAGACTTTATTAACTCAGTGGTTTAATATGTTAATTTTGTTATCTTTATTTATACAGCAACAACATTTTTGCCACAATGCACTTTACAAAACAAATGCTTGCTTTAATGATACAAACAGTTAGTTAACTAGCTAGCCTTGAAGCTAGCTAGTTCAGTTCAATCAGATTCAGTTTAGTAATAAAACACTGCAGTCGGTTTTTTATGTCAGTTGGTAAAAAGTTTTCTTAACCCTAACATTGTTCAAATTTCTCTAAATTTTAGTAAAACACATTCAGTTTTACCGTCAGCAAAGTAACTCATACAGTATTTTTTACGTATACGTAGCATTTCTTTTTTTAGCTGGGTACTTTTATATTTCTAATCTATAAACATAAATTTAAGCTTTTTCTGATGTTATCACTTTATATTTATAACTTTTTATTTGTAAACAACTTTTTGTTAGAAATTTCAGTAGTTCAGTTTCTAAAGAACAAAATGATAATTTTTCTTTTCCCCACAATTTTGTTTAAATGAAGCAATCCCAAAAATAATCCCAGAGAGATAGCTCATATCTTTATTCCATGCCATTTGTCGAAATATGCTGCAAGTTGGAGCAGTAAAGTTATGATTTATTCTCTAATAATAAAAATATGTCACTTTTAGAGATAGAATATCTGCTTCATTAAATGAAATTGAATAAAAATCATAAAATAATTAGTTTGAGTCAGCAGAAGACCGAATAATTATTTCCCTTCATTGCATACTGTAAGTCCTTGTAGTTTAAGTGTGAAAATTGGTATTTATTAAAATGATTACAGCGTTGTTTTCCATTACCTTTGACCCCTACATGTTCTCTAATCATTTATAGACAGTGAGCAGCTCAACCTTTTACCTGTGACCTGCAGGAAAACACAGCGGGAGAGGCGGGAGCTTACTTCCGGGTTCGGTCTGTGTCAGCTGACCAGGGAGCAGCCAATCAGGAGCGTCCTTCAGAAGTAAATAAACTGCGGCTGTGAGTTCATGTGTCAGCTGGCTGCAGGAGGAGCAGAGAGGAAACCCCGCAGGGAAACATGGAGACGAAGAGCCGCGGTGAGTTTCTGTCCAACCTGTCACCATAATATCCGCCTGAAGGTTATTTAATAAAAGCTCAGCGGCGTTTATGGGCTTCTTTATGGATTTCTATGATTCTGTTCTCATAGAAACAGAATCATACCTTTTGCCCTGTGCTTCTGTTTTCTGTAACATTAAAAAATACATTTAATAACCTTCCACTGACAAAGATAAATTTGATCTGGTTTAATAGGCTTAATCTAATTTACTTGACATTTGAATTTCCCATTGGATTAATTTTTCCATCAGGAATGAAGCCTGGAAATGCGTCACAGTTATGACTGTTTTTTTTTGTTTGTTTTTTTTGTATTCCTTATGTTGAAAATAAACATTCATTCTTGATTATTTTGTAGCGTTGAAATAAAACTGTTGTGGTGGAGAAAGACAATTGTTTGATTTTCAGTGGTAGTTGATGTTTTAGATAATTATTTAATATATTTGTTGTTAAAAATAATCATTAGCTGCTTTTTGTTTCATTTTTACTCTGTAGTGATGGAAAAATGTACATTCACTGTAAAGATGGATTATAACTGGATTATGTGTAATCCTGCTCTGATTTTTTTCCAGACAGCACTTAGATGATTATTGTACCATGAATAGATGAAAAAAGATATTTGAGGACATTAAAATAATAAAATGACAGCGCAGCAACAAGTCACATGTTTGTGTGAAAATAACAGGTAGTCTTTGGGTGTAGCAATACTGCAAATGTATTTTCTTCCCCTAAACTTCACCAGGAGAATGGCTTTAAAATCATAAACTAAAACATGTTTTTGGTCATTTTAAGTTCAAACTTTAAGAATATTCCGTCAGTCTTCTGCTGTCGGCCATGTTGCGGCTGCAGACCTCCTTCTTCTGGTTTTCATGTGGACACGGTAACCCTGTCCCCTACATTCATGCTGTTGTGAAACTGACCCAGTTTGATACACTGTCTCTGTTTGTCTGCAGAGACGGGGAGAGCCGAGAAGAGCTCAGCAGGCAGCGGCCAACAGGTGAGAGCGCATCTCCGCAAAGTCCTGAGTAAACCCACAAGTTTAACGTTTAACACACAGAGTTCATTTAAAACAGAAAAACAACTATTCTTATTACTGCTGCTGATAAAATGCTACATCATTATTACAGTATAATAATTTAATCTATTAATATATAGTTTGATGAAAGTACACTGCAAAAACACAAAATCTAACCAAGTATTTTTGGTTTAGTTTCTAGTGTGAACATCTTAGTTCAGTTGAAATACAATGAAACTCACTTCTAAGTAACTGTTTAGGCAGATAGATGAGCTTGTTTCAAGTCAATATTTCCTTAATATTGATGAAAACGGTTTAGTCATAAGTGAAATAATCTCCCAGTGGAACAAAACATTTTTCCGATATAAGTAATATTGTTCTACTGGTAGAACAATATTAGTCATTTTTAATCAATATTAGCTGAAAAGTTTAGTTTTATTTCTAGTGTATTGAGATATTGACACTAAACTAAACCAAAACTACTTGGTGAGATTTTGAGTTTTTACAGTGGAGAATAAAAATGTTAAATTTAGTAGAAATGATAAAAAGGTTTTTACCCATATACTCAGAATATTACATTTTTTACTTTTGTCTCTGTGGCTTTCGGTTAGCTGGAAAATTTTTCCAGCTAACTGCTCCCGTTGCTAGGCAACAGTTTGCTGCTTAGCAGTTTGCTAACTGTGGTGATAATTTATTTAATGTAATTTATTTTAGTGTTATGTATAATCTGTGTGATTTGTGAGGAATGAAGACGGCTCCGGCTTTGTGCTCAGATCTGATTTTAGTATTTTTAACTGTTGGATGAATTTTGTGAAATAAATCTGTCAGTCAGAAATCAATGTTCAGTTATGTAACAAGTTAAGAAGCAGATGATCAGTTTCACAAAAGACTGAGTCATTACCCTGACCTTTTTATTTATTTGCCTTTTGTCTTTGGGTGGAGTTTGTGTTGTTTTTATAATCCTTTGGTTTTAGTAAAACTTTAGTTTCTATGAGTACCAGCTGAAATATTTAAGGTGCATCAATTATGTCTGTTTTGTTTCTGCAGCTGTAAAAGTTCAGTTTGTGACATATACCATCTTTATTTCTGCCTTGTCATAATTTATTAATCTTTATAAAAATTACTACATTGAAAAACTTCATTTTCAGCTAAATTGGAGGTAAATTATCAATGATATTTATGACAATATTTATGTCATCACTATTCAGCAAAGTTATTATAATTATTAAAACTAATGAAATAAGGAAAACTGAAATAAAGAAAAACATGTTTATTGACTAAATAAATAAAAATGTGATTGTTAGTGGGGAAAAACAAACTAACTGGAACTATCATCATGCATTTATAAAACATACTGAAATTATAGAAATATTATCCTTCATTTTTGTGTTTATGAATAGTTTTAGTTACCATTTCAAACTGATGTGAAATTAGTTTTTATTCCCTCAAACAAGCAGTTTGTCAACTGTCAGTAAATTACAGTCACAAAAGTTGTTAGAAAACTCCAGAGTTCAACAATAATTAAATCTATTTTTATTCAAATAGTTTCTTCTGTTGAATATTCATAACCCAATCAATGTTTACATAATCACAATACTTTGAGCTTTTTTAATTCTGCTCCTAAAACTGAACCAAAGTATGAAAAGAACAACTAAAACTAAATAATATTTAACTAATTAAAACTCTATACAACAAAAAGTCACAACAAAATCAAACTAAATTGTAATAAAAAAACCCTGAACTTTTCAAACCTTCTGATTATTACAGGCCTTTATATGCATTTTAATGAGTTTGTTACATAACAACAAGCTCAACCTGACGAGTAACATTTTAAAGTGTTTTCATTGGTGAAGCAGAGACTGAATGATTGTTTACAGTGTAATGATGAAGTTCAAGTTTATGGTTTAATTTGGTGAAAATGAAAGCAGAACTTTCTGTTCGAACCAAGAAGAAACACAGAAACAACCGAGGCGGCGCTGTTCCCGCGGTTGCCATGGTTACGGTAGAGGTGGCCGAGGTGAAGGCCTGAGGAATGCGACTCGAATTTAATCCCTGCTGACTGGACGTCTCCTGTTTCCCACTGTGGAGAAGGAGAATGTCGTACTGTCTTTGAACACACCTTTGGACTAACTGTTGGCAGCTGTTGTTTTACAGTTTATTTATTTCAATTATGCACTGTAAAAACACAAAATCTGACCACGAAGGTTTGGTCTGCCTCACTTGAAATGAAACAAAACTGTTACAATTCAGTAAGATACAGAAGCTTTTTAAAGTTAATAATTCATTAATATTGATGAAACCGTTCTGGTGTCATTGGCAGATTATTATATCTTGCTCTGAATGAAATAATCTGTCAGTGGAACTGAAACTTTTTGATCAATGTTAAGGAATTATTAACTTAGGTTAAGCTCCTGCTATTGTTTGTAAGTTGTGTTTTATTTCCAGTGAACTAAGATGTGTTTGCTCTGTAATCTGCAGCAGAATTCCTCGTTGGATATTTTGTGTTTTGTTTGCTTGGTGAACTCTGATGCTCCTCTGTTGTTCACAGCGCTGGTTTGTTTTCCAGGAATCAGCAGGAGGACTGTGGGATTCTGTGAAGAAAGCTGCTTTTGTCATCGGATCTGGAATCCTGTTCCTGGCTGCTTTTGGAAACTCGCTGACGTGGTACGACCATCACAGCACCGAGCTAACGGCCAACCAGGCTAACTAATGCCAATCACAGCACCGAGCTAACGGCTAACCAGGCTAACTAATGCCAATCACAGCACCGAGCTAACGGCTAACCAGGCTAACTGAGTGGTAAAATAATCAACAGAGGAGACAAAGGCAGGGAACGAATCATGACAGAAACAAAACGGCTCGGCGGGTCGGAGCAGGAAAGACCAGAATCCCGAGTCTGGAAACACTGGGTTGGTCTAGTCAAAGCAAGCCTGCTGCATGAGTACATAAACATTACAAGCAAAGGTGTGGAGTTTGATGGTAGGAATCTGGCTAGTAACTAGTTACAGTTACTCAGAAAGTTTTGAGTAACTTTTTTGAAAACAAGTTACTTTTAGGAGTATTTTTACTGTGCTGTACTTTTACTTTAGTGATTTTATTATGAAGTATCTCTACTTTTACTTCCACTTTTGAGATAATAATAATAATAATAATAATAATAATAATAATAATAATAGTTATTATTATTATTATTATCAGGGACAGGAGATGGAAATTAGCCAGAGGCTATAAAGTCTGTCACCTTTTCATGTAAATAATCAATATTTTATCTTTACAATAAATAAAAATATAGATATTCGATTAGACCAGAGGAGGATGGAGAATACAAAAATTACTCAAATAAAAGTAAAAAAGTATTTGGTAAAAAGTCGACTCAAGTACTGAGTAACTGATCAAATAATCATTTAATGTTTAAAAATTACATCATCAGATGGACCAAAATATAAAAGTTACATTTTTGTATTTTAAGAACCAAAATGACAATAAATCATATAAGGAACAAAAAATAATAAAATCAGACAAAACAAGGACGTTTCCAAATCAGTTTCTTTCAATAAAAAATCTTCAGAAACTTTAACTGAAGCTGCAGGTTTGAGTCTGTTTCTGGTTAAAACATGTTTGATTTTCATTCAGTGGGAAGAAAATCCAGAAATTTGACTCAAGTAAAAGTAAAAATGCTTTCTAATAAAATGACTCAAGTACAGTGTAGTAAAAATACTCTAAAGTTTCTCGAGTAAATGTAAGTACTTACTGCCCAACCCTGGAACAGGCATATTCTAATGCATATATTATTATTACTACTATAACATAATAATATTTACTGGTCCTGTTTGGACCAGAGTTTACATTAACGGAATATTTTCCGTATTTGACCGGTTACTTTTTTAATAACGAGAAAATTTAAAGCTTGTCGGTCATTTGACAGGTTATAATTTACACCTCTGACTGGTGCAAACAGGCAGACATTACAGACTTTACACAAAGATTTCACCGCAGAGGCAATTAAAGTCAATCAATAAAAAAATCCTTTCTGAACATCATCTCCTGGACTCTGAACTAAATGTCTTTCTGACCGGAGCCAACGGCCTGTTGAAGAGTTACGGACCGGAGGATTTGGAGCGTCTGGTTAGGAAGAGCGTTCAAAACCTTTGGGAGAAATGGAGCCTTTAATTCCAGACCAGAGAAAACTAAAGAGATGCAACGTTGAGTTAATCCATTTATAGTCTAAAGGAGCCGGCAGTTTATCCTGAGGAAATAAATAAAAGTGCAGAAGTTAATTAGAGCCTAACCTGCGCAGTGCGCTGCACTGCCAGTGTAGATCTGTAGATCTGGTGTGATGAGCTCCATCTTCCTGGTTTTAGCAGCGTTCTGGTCCACAACGCTTCCTGGTTCTAGTCAGAACTCCAGCAGCAGCGTTCTGGTCCACAACGCTTCCTGGTTCTAGTCAGAACTCCAGCAGCAGCGTTCTGGATCAGCTGCTGCTGGAGGGTTGATTTGTTTGTGTCACTACGGAGAAAATGTTAGATGTGTGACGGCATCTGGATTCAGGTTCAGGTGAATCTGAACTAAACCGCATAAAAATGCGTCTCAACAACCGACATTAATATGATTCTAATTTGACGGGTGAAAACAGAACATGACTGATTTTTTTATGCTGTCTGTCAAAATGAGGCAGAACAAAGGAGTCTAGCGCCACCTCTGGTTTGGGCTAAGAATTTCTCACTATAAAAGCTGATCATTTTTACATGAATCTGTTCGGTAGTTTTGGTTCTGTGGATCATTTTTATTTAACATTAACAAAAATCATTGATATTATAATCAGCATCACTAATAAACAGGTTTTACAGTTAAAATGTTTTTCTCACACCCACATTGAAGCAATATTTATATAACAGAAATTAAATATTAAACATAATTTTTGTGCATTTTATGGATGAATGTTTTCTACTGCAGGTGTTTTTTGTTGTTATTAATATTGTGATGCTTTAACTGTTTATGGTTTAGTTACCTGATATAAATCAGGTTTTCCTCGTCTTTTCAACAAGAAAAACAAAAAAAGAAGCAGAGTGACCTCTGACCTCTGACTCCAGGCATCTTCAGAGATTCTGGGGAGCTTCAGGAGATTTCTGGCAGAAGTTGTGGACGCAGGTTTACCTGCTGTTTGAAGGTCATGATGCTGCGCTGTTCTTCGTAGGTAAGAAAATTCATGCTAGAGAATCGGTACTCCAGGTCTTGTTCCCTTTCAGGTCAAAGGTCACCGATATGAGGCAGAAATTAATATTTTTACCATCAGTTTGTGAAACCTTCAGGCTGGAGAATCTCCATCGATCTGCGTCCATCAGATTTATGACAGAAACAAAACAGGACAGGTCACAGGTCACCAGTCTGTCGCAGAGAAACCAGAACCTCAAACATCAATCATCTCCAGGCAACATCAGAAAAGAATCAGTTTGAAACTGTCGGATAATAATAATAATAATAATAATAATAATAATAATATCTTCAGATTCACTGACCTGTTTCCAACAGAAATCTGGATATTTGGTTGATTTAAATCAAATTCTACAAACAGAGGCTGATTTCAAGGCATGAAGTTTAAGTCATGTTTGTTTCTGACGTTTGGACCCGGTTCTGACGTTTGGACCCGGTTCTGACGTTTGGACCCGGTCTGTTTCATCCGGAACAGGAACCATGCTGGCCCCGACCTCGGTGTTCTGGATGCTGAACGGCCTGCTGCTGCTGGTGGACACGTCTGGGAAACCGTCCTTCATCACTCGGTACCGGATCCAGGAGGGCAGGAATGACCCGGTAGGTTCCTCTCTAAGGCCTGGTTCAGATTCTGGACTAGTCGGCCGATTTTCTAAACCCCAGAGACCGCAACGAATCCGATTAAAAAACCAGAGCCGTCTGTTTGAGGCGTCCAGCCGCACCAACCAGTTTCACTCAGCAGCGTCTGGATTCCAGACAGAAAATCCAGTAAAACTTGAGAGTAAACAAACATGGCCGACGGTTTGGATTCATTTAGAAAAGACGAAACAAACAGAGAAAGTTTTGGACTAAAGAGTGACGGAATGAGATGAGTCGATCTGCTGAATTAAAATTTTCATTTTTGTTTCAAATTTAATTATGATTACATTTTTTCAGTTTTTCTGATTCCACTGAAATTAATGAGCACAAATTGACAGATAAAGCCACTAATTTTAAACCGTTTGACCCAAACAGCAGTAAATGTTTTACCAGTCAGATACAGTCTACCTCAGGGGGGCTCAAAGTGCGGCCCTGGGGCCGTCTGTGGCCCTTGGATGAACTTTGTGCGGCCCTGTGACTGCAATTCAACAACTGCACAAACGTGGCCTTCCAATAGTTTCTGTAATTTTTCTTATAGTTTAAACCAGGGGGCCCCAGAGTGGTCCCTGAGGGCCGGCATCCTGCAGGTCTTATTCCCTCCCTGGTTTAACACACCTGGATCCGATGAAGCTCATTAGAGGCCTGAGAGGAACATCGACCTGCTGAACCACCAGGGAGAGAATAAAACATGCCGGACGCCTCCAGGACCCACTTTGGACACCACCGGTTTAAAGTTTATTTCTTAAACTGAAAATGCAAAATAAAACACAAAGATTTTTCTCTCTCATAAAAACATTTAGGAACTTGAGCATAAAATTCATGACATTTATCTAAAAACAGCAAAGTTAGTGGAAGAAAATGTGTATTTTTGTAATGGAGCAGCTCATGGTTACCGTCTGCTAACGAAGCCGGGAAGCTACTGGATGGATTGACTCGTTCTGCTGATGTTCCTTGAATAACTTTCACCTTGTTTCCACATTTGGTCTCCGATCTCTGCCGCACTCTGGGTTACCATGGCAACAGCTCTGTGTTTGGGGCTCCCCTTCATGTTGATGTTATTGCACTTCCTGCTTCCTGATTGGCTGCCTGTCACATCCAGCAGGCGGCGCTCTCACTCCTACTGGGGAAAAACCATAGGATGTGATAATCCAAGACAATCCAACATGCTGAATAATCCCCATTCTAGATTTCAAATTCTAGATTGGAGCGACCCGATCAGCCGGGATTAAACGATAATCTTAGAACGTTCTCAGATTATCAGAAAGGACATCGGGGCTGAGCGTGACGTCGGTTCGTCGGTCTGCCTCTGAGCAAAGTCCGACTCATAGATATAAAAACTTTAATGATTATTGATCAGATCCAGAACATGCTGATTCCAGCTGCAGTTTTTATATTTACAGCCACGGAGAAAACAAAATGTCTGCTGCTGCATTTCCAGTCACCTGATGGTTCTGCAGTTTCACATTTCCTGAATTAAAATGTTAAATTTAAAAAAGTCAAGTTTTTCAATAAAAAGGTTTTCGACTCCATTTTCCTAAACTGCAACGGAAACAATTTTCACATCAACAGGAAGTTACTTGTGCTGGAGACCACGAAGAAGAGGAAGACAGGAAGTGATGATGATGCTGTGCGTTTCTGTAACGACGTATGTGAACAAACTTATTTATGTGATTTTAATTTAGTTTATTTAATGGTGACATGATCAGAATATGGGCAAAGTTTTGATCATATTAGTGAGAAACTCAGATGAACTAAGAACCTCAACACCAATTAACTGTTACTTTAATTCAGGTTTTTAAATGAAATAAAATAACTCCGACTGAAATTCACCAACATTATGGATCTGATTTTACATCACAATCAGTCAATGCAGTAAAATAGTTTTAAAGGAAAATAATCCAGATTATTCTTGTTGCCGAGACCAATTTATTTTAATAAAATCCATTTATTACATAGAAAATCATTTTGAATGTGAATAAAAGTAGAAAAAGCTGCATTAAGCAGCAAATCATGACAAACATTTAAAATGTTCACTGATCTAATATCTATACTGGTGCAGATAATGTGTCTGATCCATAAGGGCCTATCTACTCAGTCTAGTTCTATGTTCTGTGCTCTGAGTGACGTCTTTCTTATTTATTTTGCTTTTTATTTTAAATGAATAATTAAACGTTGCTTCAGTTCAGTTTCTGCTCAGATTAAAGTTTTGACATGTTTGACCAGCTGGTGGCGCTGTTCCAGGCATCAGTTTGTGACCGAGTCTGTAGCAGCCTCAGGTACCGGCGTCCGGTCGCTGAACAATGTCTGTTCCTGCAGGTGGACCCGGCCAAGCTGCGGCAGGCGGTCCGGACCGTCCTGTTCAACCAGGTGCTGGTCTCTGGGCCCATGGTGGTTCTGGTCTACCTGCTGGCCAGCCGGACCGGCCGGCCCTGCGGCCCCGAGCTGCCCACCTTCCACCGAGGCCTGATGGAGCTCGCCCTGTTCTCCATGCTGGAGGAGATCCTGTTCTACTACTCACACAGGCAGGACATAGTGGGACATAATGGGACATAGTGGGACATCCTGGGACATCCTGGGACGTTTGCTGATCTGTCTGTCGATCCTCAGGTTGTTCCACCATCCCAGCCTCTACAAGCATTTCCACAAGCAGCACCATGAGTGGACTGCTCCCATCGGCATTGTCTCCATCTACGCTCATCCTCTGGAGCATGTGGTACAGCCGCCATTTTTTCTTCGTTTACTGCTAGTAGATTCACTCAGGATGTTTCCCTCCTTCAGTCCG